TCACTTGAAAATCATCATTTCTGTTAACAGAAAATATCAGGAAAGCAATAGTAAAAACTAAAGATGAATTATCATATGTGAACTTTAACTTACTGCTGACTTTTCACTATTTCCACAGACTTTTAAAGCATCCAAGATATCTTTTTCTTCAAATCCCATCTCTTTTAGTCTCAACAAAGCCTGGAAAAAAATAATACAATAAATGGTGTAGCAACATTAGGGTGATCTAAACTTCCGGTATTGTGATAATGGAGTAAACATGTTGCAAACTTTGTGCTTTAATATGTAAATGATGGAGACGTGGCGATCAATACGTTCTCAGAAGTTCTGGCGCCTCATTTCATAATTTGATGACGGTGTTTGCGAAAACAACATTTTATGAGAGTCAATGACATTTTGAAATAAATACATGCCAATTTGGATAATGCATAAATTAAAGTTGTATTGTAAGTAAAACTTTCTAATTAAAAGTAGAAATCAAATCGGAGAGTTAATGCATTTGTGAGTTATACTGATCAAAACCTGACATATTGCACCGTGTAACGACTAAAGTTGTTTATTGTCTTCATTATAATAAATCCCATCATGCATTGCTGTTCGATTCTGCTTTAGGTGCACGCTAAATACAATTAACTACAAGTGTGTACTGTTTGATGTTCTAAGTTGAATAACTCGCAGTTATAACATGAATAAACTAGTCCTACAAATTTGAAAGGGAGAAAACTAATGCCTATACAGGGGAAAAAAGAGTGTAGCGTACATCGCAGAATAATCTAAATGGAAAATGATTCATATCCAACATTGATTTTGTATTTGAGCCCATCGCGAAACTGAGAATCCAGTGTGTGATTCAGTGACTTGATGACACCCTAAGATGCTGAAAACTCAGTAACTTGATGACACCCTAAGATGCTGAAAACTCATAGTGACTTGATGACACACTAAGATGCTGAAAATTCAATGATTGTTGACACCCTAAGATGCTGAAAGCTCTGACTTGATGACACCCTAAGATGCTGAAAACTCATAGTGACTTGATGACACACTAAGATGCCGAAAATTCAATGATTGTTGACACCCTAAGATGCTGAAAACTCAGTGACTTGATGACACCCTAAGATGCTGAAAATTCAATGATTGTTGACACCCTAAGATGCTGAAAACTCATAGTGACTTGATGACAACCTAAGATGCTGAAAACTTGATGACACCCTAAGATGCTGAGAACTCATAGTGACTTGATGACACCCTAAGATGCTGAAAACTCATAGTGACTTGATGACACCCTAAGATGCTGAAAACTTGATGACACCCTAAGATGCTGAGAACTCATAGTGACTTGATGACACCCTAAGATGCTGAAAACTCATAGTGACTTGATGACACCCTAAGATGCTGAAAACTTGATGACACCCTAAGATGCTGAAAACTCATAGTGACTTGATGACAACCTAAGATGCTGAAAACTTGATGACACCCTAAGATGCTGAAAACTCATAGTGACTTGATGACAACCTAAGATGCTGAAAACTTGATGACACCCTAAGATGCTGAAAACTCATAGTGACTTGATGACACCCTAAGATAATGAAAACTCATAGTGACTTGATGACACCCTAAGGTGCTGAAAACTCATAGTGACTTGATGACACCCTAAGATAATGAAAACTCATAGTGACTTGATGACACCCTAAGATAATGAAAACTCATAGTGACTTGATGACACCCTAAGGTGCTGAAAACTCATAGTGACTTGATGACACCCTAAGATAATGAAAACTCATAGTGACTTAATGACACCCTAAGATACTGAACACACAACACAACCTAATTAACAGATCTACCCGGTGATGCTTGACTATTGGCAAAGCAAATAACTTGCAGATTTGTATCCGCTACATTATGTTACCGTACTAATTTTTGCTGACAACACAACTTTAACAGAATATTAATTTAGCTGAAGTGTAAATCTGATTTTCTTTTAAATTAGTGACATCTTCAATTAATAAAATTACAGGGTTACCTAATTAGCTATATCCTTGCTAGCTAAATTTACATACTTTACAGTATTCATATGCAAGCCAAAACATCTGATGGACAAATTGCATGGGAACATCTTTGGTCGATCTTGTGAAAATCAAAAACGTCCATGATCAAAATTAGCATACATCAAAACAAATTTTCAATAATAATAGAAACACTATGGAATCTGAATTTATCTACTCACCCTTTGATTCGGCTTGAATTTGCGTTGTCTGAAACGCTTGAACAATAATAAATTTTCCTCAACTTCCGTATGGTTAGTTGCTCCCTCACTGTCATCCACAACTGACTCGGGCATTTCAACGATTGGTTGATCAATATCTGCATCACCGTCATGCTTCAACAGCCACTCCATGGCATCCACAGGGTTCATTCTGCATGGATAGAAAAAAATCCATTACAGAGTCACTGAAGATGGAATCACTGTACCGGGAGATGTATGTGTCGCTACAGAATCAACAAATTTCCTAGTGTCATAAATTGGGGGCCTGGGAACCAGTGAGGAAAGTAAACAAAATAATCCTAAGGTAGAATCTACTCATAATTTTTGACAAAATTGGTCATAAATCGCATGAAAATGTTCATTAGTTTATTATGTACAATCATGAAGCTAATGTCTCATGGTACAATGAAATAGCATTATTTTGTGTTTCACAGTTATGCTTTTGAGAAATGTGTCTTAATATTTCTTGAAAATTGCTATTTTTTGAACAATTACATAGAAAACAATGTTAAAGAAAAACAACAATACAACATCATTAAACAATATATGGTTTTTTCAGTCTATGTCACCAGGCTAGATTTTGAGTTATTGCATAATATCTCTGCCATAGGAACCTGTAGTAAAAGTGTTATAATAGTGTCAAAATGGCAACTTCCCACTAAAATACAACCATAAATTTCTTGAAAAAAAAAGCTGGTGACCCCCAACTTTTTTTAGATCAATATATTTATATTGCCTTGGGATAAAGTTTATTGCAAAATGAATAAATTCTGGGTACTGTAGAATACTTTATTTTCGCTTGGAATTTATTTTCGCTATTTTCGCTGAAGGGATGATTCCGTGAAAATAAAATCCAGCAAATATACTTTTTTTCCTATACTTCACATTAATCTCATCAAAAATCAGTGAAAATAAATTCCAACCAAAAGGCCCAAAAAGCCTTTTCAGCGAAAATTAATTCCAGCGAAAATAAAGTATTCCACAGTATTTTAATTTATGAGTAGGCTTCTACCTTAATGCATGCAATCAAACTGCACTATGTGTGTTTTTATGAAAACTAGACAGTTAACTTTGCATTATTCAATGCTGTTACAACTTACTTGTTCAATATCAATGCCTTAGTTGCTCTGTTCTCAGCGAAGCCCATCTCTTGTAGCTGCTTCAAAGCAGATGGATCTACTTGTGACGCTTTTTTGTGGGTCAATATTTCTAATAAAAACAAAACAACAATCACCATCAATATAAGCTCACTCAAATGAACACTTCATTCAATCAAACTCAATGTGCCATCAGCAATACACCAAATTTTATGTGTATTTGATTCAGTTATAGCTGGAATTAATTTTCGGTGTGGGGACTTTTTGGGTGTTTTGTATGGAAATTATTTTCACTGATTTTTGATGTGTTGAAAGTAAAATATAGGAAAAAAGATGTATTTTGCTGAATGAAAGGGCAGCAGTCTCGTGTCGCGTCCTGTTCGATATGGGACTCATAACGACGTATACAACGCATGTAAAATACATTGTTTATTTACATGAAATTCGAACACGCGCCGACCACCGTGATTGAAATTAAATTCAAGTGAAAATAAAGTATTTTACAGTACACGAATTCAACTTAGGATAATTTGAAATTTCACATAATGCAGTCATACTTACCTCAACAAATTCCAATGTTTAACATTGAATAGAACTTGTAGACATACTGTTCAAAGAAGCCCTATGTAAGAAATTTAAGCACTCCCAGTTGCCAGTAAGATCGGTCACCTGGGAGGTCCTGCACCCCCTATCTCCAGTTCTATTTTTTCAGTGTGAGTGAATCAGGCTGTTCTTCAGACAGTATGCCCACTAGCTCTATCTAATGCTAAACAATGTTTTGGTAAGATACATACGACTGAGCATAGTAACATAACCACTTACCACTCGCTTGTAAGACCAAGTCTACTGCTTCAGTATTAAGACTTAGCAACCTATGCGTCGTGTCTAGCAGAGTTATTAGAATTTTACGGAGTTCCTTCGAAAACTATAATACAAAGTTGAAGAGAGAATAATATAAGTTTATTTGACTTAAAAAACAGACTCAATTGCACCATGCATACATGCAATGGAACTGGGTACTGTTTGCAAACAAATACAGAAGTGTGATTCTAAATTAATTATTCAGACAAATAGTTTCCAAATTTCAAACTCGTCTACTACTACTACACTCTATTTCAGTACAAAATAGCCACCACTTTAAGAGAAATACGCAATAGGATCAGAATAAATATTTTCACAAAACTGAGGCTGGCTAATGTTTTTTTCCCTGAATGTAACCATGGAATAACATTTTAACAATCAAAATGTCAGGAAAACTTTCCCAAAAATTATGACATTGTGAAATTGTTAACTTGCATCCTTCTTTCCGATAGCCATTTATATTTGCACATTAAAAGAAAGGAAAAAAACTCACTTCTGCTACCGGTGGAAGGTTTTCCGGTTTCCTATCAGTGTTCTTCACAGGCACACCTTCTGTTGCCTTGGCGATATCTTCAGCATCAGGTGCTTTATTCAAATCTTGCTATGAGAAAAGTGAACACAAGTCATTGTCAATGACACGTCCCCGTTCCGTTCATATTTGAGTGACATATACATTCAAAGCAGATCATGACCGAAATGCACCTGCATATGTACAACACATTGTGCTAAATCTGAACAAAATCCATCCATGCATGACTGAGATCTCGTTCTGGAATTGTGAAAATACGCGATTTTGATGCATTTTCGGCCTTAAAATGGCCATCATTTCGCTATTGTTAAGCAGATCATGAAACAAAGGCACATATCTATTTGTGACATGATGTACCATGTGTGTGTGAAGTTTGAACTTGATCAATCCAGACATGTCTTGGATACGGATCCAGAACTGAATTCTTTAACAAAATGGCCGCCAGTCGGCCATTTCGAACTTGATCCGAAAAAAAAAAGACGTGCA